TAGGGAAACTGAGGCATGAATAAGTTCCTAAACAGAAATAAATGTTAATTACCTCAGGAGAGTCCTGAACTACTTGTCCATTACTCTTCTCGTGAAAGGGATGGTTGTACCTCAGACTATTAGACCTGAACTTCCTACCAGTAAATGGGGAATAAAATGGAAAATTCCACATATGGGGCATATGGCTCCTCACCAGGAATTCACTAATGATGTTTTCTATATAAAGAATGTTTCATGTCAAAAAGCTTAGTGTTCCTTTGAAAGGAAGAAACCAGCAGTGGATTTTTTGGAAAGGTGAACTATCAAATGGATACTCTGATGATAATGGATAATTTCTAAAGGATCTATCAACCAGTGTTGGCTGAAACTCAAGCCTGATAAAATAACAGGTTCTCTTGCTCCAGTTTACTCCACCAAATCCACATATTTAAATTCTTTGAACATATGCATCTATTTTTCAACTTTCCCCAACAAAATTTCTTAAAAGGGTTCAGATTTTATGACTTAAAAATTATAGCTTCTAGCAGTGCAGGGGAATATGATCTGAGAAATTTCGTCCTTGATTTCTTGTTTTAACTTTCTGCACCTTTCCATTTGCAGAAATAACTATGTAAAGAAATGATAAACTAAATGGGCTTTTCTGAAGAAGAACATGGACTTAGATCCATTTTCTGCCCATATGGTGCCATTTGTGTATAACTGTATATGAAATAAATGTAGCTCAATGTTTAACTTGTAGGAATCAGATCAATAGTAATTAAGTTCTATTGTTTTACTCTAAAGTGGAAACAAACATATCATTTAAACTACTAACCCAGAAAATATAACAAATTATTAAATGGTTATTTTAAAGTAAATCAGACATAGTTGAAAGGTCTAATATTTGAGTGTCCTAAGAGGATTTAGAGAGAATTAAAAGGAGCGTTTGTTCATAGCCACCTTGAGCTCTTCTGATTTCTCCCTTATTCTTCACCTAAATGAACAAACAAAAGCAGTTAACATGCATTACAACCTCATTGATAAATTGGACACAGTTTTCTATGATTTTGTCCTCATAGAAAAGTGTGTACTTGAAGGGAAGAGTTTGAATTGGATTAATACTCTTTGTGTGTGTGTGTGTGTGTGTGTGTGTGTGTGTGTGTATACACATATATATAATTACTCTTTATATATACATATGTGTATATATAATTATTTTACATACTTTATATGATATATGTATAAAATATATACGTACCAGAGAGCTCTAACTCATTTAAGAGATAAATCACATAAAATTGTAGGCATGCCTTCCTCTAGCATCGATAATGTGAAAAAGAAAGAGAAAGAAGACCAGTCTTTCTCAGTTTCACCCCAGATTCCCCCTCCTCTGTCATTATAGTATCTGTTATCCCCTGTTGGATTCTTCCTCCACACTTTGCACTTATAATTCGAGTCTCCTTTGGAATTCTCAAGCACTGACTTTATCTCCTAATGAAGCCTAAAAGGTTCCAAATGCTAACGCTCTCACTGATGCTGCACTCATATAGTGAAGGCCTATTACACGCTGACCTACTGGATATTTATATTTGAGTGTTTTTCATATGCTTCACTTAAATAATCTCTCTCACGGTATCCTACTCTCCAATTTGTTTATTTTTCTGTTTCTTTCTCTCAAACACCACTATTCACTGTGAGACACCCAAAACTTGCCATTCCTAATGTGTTCATTTTCCTTGGCTTGTCAAATCTAATTCTCCATAAAATCTTATTAATTTTAAACCTTAATTATTTCTTGTAAAAGTTTTTTCTTTTTAATCTTTTCTGCCTTAGTTGTATTACCTTCTTTCTGTTTAACTTTTTATCCTCCTAACTAGGTTTTTGCCTTTAGTCATTTTTTCTCTTTCTCATATCTTCCCCCTAAATCTTTAGCCCTTTTGTCAAAATAGGTATATCTCATGCTTGGCATCTCCATTAAAGCCTATTTCCCCCCAGGAAAACAAAAATACATATCTTCTTAGTAAAGCAAAACTAGACTTCTCAAGTTTGGTTGGCTTTGTTTTGGTTTAAGAGATTTTTGCTATAGGGTGCATGCACTGGCTAGGAAGACAGAGACAGAAAGCAAGAAAGCACTCTCTTGGGGGATGGCCAGACCACAATCCCTTCTCCATTCTCCCCTCAGGATCTTGGGCACACACACACATGCACCCGGCACACGTTTGAGCTACCTGGTCCGGGACTCGAACTGAGGTCAACTACATGGGACTCCAACAACATAATCATTATGCCATCTGCTGGCCCTTAGACCCTTAAAGTTTTAACTTTACCCAATCTGTTGAGATTTGGGGTCTGCCCCACATGCCAAACAGTGCACCAGCCATTCATGCCAAAGTCCTTGCAGTCTTACATGCTTTGCATATCTCTAGGACTTTATGTGAATCCCCCTCAGTCTAGAAACTCTTCTACATCCTCATTCAGCAGTCTCCTACTCTTTCAAATCTTGGCTCACACACCTCCTCTTCTGGAAATCTACTATGATCACCTACTTCCTACCCATCACCATCTCACCCCCAAGTCTGTGTCAGGCTACCCTTCTTAAGTGCTCTAACAGCCCGTATGCCTCCTTCTCTTAAAGTATTTATCATACTGGATTTTTTGTTTGTTTATTTTGTTTTTGTTTTTAGAGAATTTTGCTATAGGCCATTTGCATTCACCAGAGAGACAGAAAGTGAGAAATCACCCCCTGGAGGTATGGCCACACTGCAATCCCTTCTGCTCCATTCTCCTCTTGGGATTTTGGCCACACACTCAAACACACACACACACACGCACACACACCTGGTGTGAGTTTTAAGCTGCCAAGTACAGGACTCAAACCACAGTTAGCTATGTGGGAGTCCAGTGACATGACCATTATGCCATCTGCTGGTTCCTATCATATTGGATTATAACCTTTTATTTACTCATCTTTATTTACCATGAAATTATGAGCTCTTTGCAGGATAAGGATAATATATCTTTATCACTACATTCACAGTTCCCAACACAGAAGTTGACACAAAGTTGGACAGAATGATGGATGAATAAATTAACTAACAGTAAATAGTCCAGAAGCAACTGTATCCCTGACATCAACTAATATAAAACTGATCCATAATACCAGATTTTAGGATGAAGCTAATCCACAAGAAATGTTATGAAATGTTTTGTTTTTGTTTTTTTGTCAGAGAGTGTGTTCTCTTGCCAGAAAGAGACAGAGAGACAGAAAGAGGGAGAAAGCACCTTTCATGGGGTATGGTCATTCTGCCATCCTTCCTCTTCCATTTCTCCATCTTGTAAGGATTTGGGACACAAATGCATGTGTGCCCCTCCCCCCACCACCACACCTGTTTTTTAAACCACTAGTGCTGGGACTTGAACCACACAGTTGGCCATGTGGGATCCAGCTGGTTTAGCCAATAGGCCATGGGCTGGCCCGAGGTTAGGAGTTTTTAAGGAATGACGATTTATAGGGACATGAGAAGTGGGTGATAGTGCATGGAACTAAAGATGCATTTACCATCATTCCAGCAATCATGTCCCTCTTCTGATACTCATTGCGTCACAAGAACCACCAAGGTTGACCTTCACGGTTTCCCCTTACACCTCTCAGCTAGATGACCATCAGTCCTTCCTCAGAGGTCATTTCCATCACTATCATCCATTCTCTGCCTTTGAACCACCTTAATTCCATCCCTTTATTACACGGAATAGGGTTTCTTATGGGTGATACCTGGGACTCATTATGACATCTCCCCAAAGGTGGGCCTTACTCTATCAAAGATTTCTTTCAGCTGCTCAGATAACATGTCCTCATGTTACTACGTAAGTGAAAACACAGCACTTACTAGTTACTGTACCTACCCTGGAACTTCATCTTAGTAGTCAAACCAAATGAACAATGGTTATTACCAAATTGAACAGCCTTACAAATATGAAACTCAAAATGTATTGAAAACTTGAAAGAGACTCAAAATTCTGTTTCATTTTATTTCACTGACCTCTCAATACCCAGAGACTGCACTGACAGGTTCAAATAGGAAATTAAGCAATAGCCTTGCCAGTCCCTTGGTGATTTTCACTACACCCTTCAGGGTGAGAAAGCCATGGCTACAGAAAGCAGGTTATGAACTAAACCTTTATATTTTCTCCCCTGAATCAGTAAATTAATATCATCTTTTCATCAGAACTCTAATTAACTGGTTGAGTCATCTAGCAGCAGTTAGCAGAGACATTCAGACCTAAATGTGTGCCATGACTGGTGGATTTTTTCAAGGATAGCACAGTTAGCTCTCTGAACAAAATGAACTACTACTTCAGGACTACTTCCTTAAAATGTCAGGATATTTAAGGCATTTAGAAATCTATGTTGACTTTTTTCCAGATGCTGCTAAATAAGTTGCCTTTTAATATTCTACATTTTTATCTTCTAAAAGTGTCAACATTTTTTCCTTTATAGAGTATCTTAGATAGGAAATACAATTGGCCCAAAGCTATTGTTTATGAAAACCTAGTATTAAAATGAGTCTTTTAAAACCCCCCACAAAAGTTAAAATGTCTATCCAGAGCATAATTTGATAGCAATACAAACTGGTAGGACTGCTGTTTCTCATTTCTAGGTTCTCTATCAGTAGGTTTGTATATTTAAAAGAGTACTTCAACATTTGACCTTATATTACAATTATTCATGTCTATATTTTAACTTTCATGCAGAGATAAACATTTTGAAAGAATGAGCCTTGTCTTAGTCATCTTCGCATCCTCTGAAACGGTTGATGATTTTTACCCTAGTGTTTTGCAGGAGATATCTTTGCAATAAATTCATTTTTAAACATTTACTAGACAAATTTGCTATCTATGGAGATATAGTGACAAACAAGACGGGGAAGATCCCTACTCCCATGTAACTAATTGCACTGAAGCAGGAGAAAGGAGCAAAATACCCAGTGTTAGCAACATAAAAATATTGGGTCATCAGAAAAGTCATGATGTAATTTTCTATGTTTTTCTATGCAAAAATGTGTCATGACTTTTCTCATTACCTAATAATAATATGTCAAAGAAAATGTTTATTGTGTCAGGAGTGTTAAAAGGAAATCAAAAAGACATGTGACTGAGAAGAAATATCACTTTAGATAGGCTTACAGCTAAATTAGGGAAAGGAGGTCAAATAAGGCCTTACTAAGAAGGTGATATTGACACAGAATAACCGTACTATGAGATTAAAACATAAACGTGTCATAGTGTTAGGAACGAAAGTATTCCAGAAGAGGGAATGGAAGTATAAAACCCAGAGTTATGGAAGAACTTGAAGCATTTTGGGGAATGAAGAGTCTAGCATGGCTTGAGCTTCACAGATGATGTAGAGAATGACAACAGATAGGCCAGTGCCAAAAGATTATAGGACTATGCAGGCCATCACAAGAAATTGGAAGAGATACGAGTGGCAAAAAAGCATATGAAAAAGTGCCCAACATCCCTCATCGTAAGGGAAATGCAGATCAAAACCACAATGAGATACTACCTAGCCCAAATAAGAATGACTAAGATAAAAAAAACAAAAATGAGTGCTGGCAGGCTGTGGTGAAAGGGGAACTCTCCTACACTGTTGGTAGGAATGTCAATTTGTCCAGCCACTGTAGAGAATAATATGGAGATACCTCAAAGATCTAAAAATAGATACTACCATTCCTCCAATTCCACTCCTGGGTATCTGCCCAAAGAATAAGAGAATGTTCAGTTGGAAAAGTCTTGGACATCTATGTTTACTGCAACATTATTCACAATTGCTAAGACATGGAACCAACCCAAATATCCACGAACAAATGAATGGATTGAAAAAGTGTGGCACATATACTTTATGAAATACTACTAAGCCATAAAAAACAAAACCCTGGCTTGTGATAGAACAAATATGGAAGATTTATTGCTGAGTGAAGCAAGCCAGGCTATGAAGAAGAAACATTGTATGTCTCCATTTAATATATATTGACTGTCTGCACACAATGGTGGAAACTGAAAGATTAGAGAATATAGAAATATGGAAAATGGTTAAGGATACTGGATACAGTATGGGAAGAGGGTGGAAGAAGGAAGAGAGTGTGAGGAAAGACATTAAGGAGACAAATGGGAAGGCAAGACATTTATGACACACAGAAATGGATTATTATCTGTTGCTGATAATGTGTATAGTGTACTCACCTGGACTGATCTGAACTGTATTCATGTTGGGAAAATTCGTTTTACAAGCTGAGTGATGTATAGTGATTGAATGTATAAAATAAACTAAAATAAAATAAAATACATTAAATAATAATAAAAGAAATTGGGATTACATCATAGGAAAAAAGTCAAGTGGGTTCTATATCTCATAAAAATTACACTGGCTTGCATATACACTTTATAGACATTTTTAAATTTTTCAGTAGAAATGGGGAGGCCAAGATTTAAAACATGAGGTCCAGTTTAGAGGTTATGGCAAGAGTCCATGAGGGAGAGGAGGATGGCTTAGACCAGGAGACATTGCACTAAACATATAGAGAACTATGTAGAATATGCAGAGCTTGGTGATGGATTACATTGGAGGTAAGGAAAGTGAAGGCTTCAACATTTAATTTTTGCATATTTGCCCAAGAACATAGATGAATAAGATTGGGAGATCCATAGGTTGTAGACAGAAAAAAACGGAATTGTGTTCTGGATATTTTGTATTTTTCTACACCATTGGTCATCTACATGGAGGTGTCAGGTAAACAGCTGGATTCATGAGTCTGAAGTTTTGGAGAGAGTTTCATTCTAGAGGATGCATGTGGGAGTCTTCAGCATATAGAAGATATTTAAATCTGAAACTAAATTAGGATCACTTTGGAAGTTAGTGTTGCAAGGTACGGGAGAGGAAAAGAAGAGGAGAGGAGGGAAGAGAGAAGAGAGAGTTCTGATCTCTGAGGCACTATATTATTTTGAAGTCCAGAAAGAGAGGAACAGCTAGTAAATGAGACCAGAAGGAATAGCCAGAGAAATGAAAGAAAACAAGCACAGAGCATGGTATGAGAGGAAAAGGAGATTGTGTTTATTTGTTGAAGGGTGTAATTTGGGTAAACACTAGGCTTTGCTTACTTTCCAATACTCCAGGTAAACAGGTATCAAAGTTTAAAATCCCTGGGTAGTTTCTCAGGCCTTGATTTAGATTATACCTTGAGTGACAGCCAAGGTGGAGAAATTTCCCACTCCTAGTTGTCTGACACTTTCTAAAGGCAATTCAAAAATAAAATAATCAAATTGATAAAAAATATATTTATAACCAATTATGCATTTCATCTCCAAAGTAAATAAATAATAAAAAGATTTTTTCCCCTCACAGTGAGGGTTTTTGTTCACCATGTAATGGTATGACTTTTGATAAGATGTTTATTTGATCCTAACAATAAAATCTCATTGCATTATTTTCACCAGGAGTTTGGGTGACACCTCGACACATTATCATCAATTCTACAACAGTGGAATTATATTGGAGTCCGCCGAAAAAGCCCAATGGCCTCATTTCTCAGTATCAATTGAGTCGTAATGGAACTTTGCTTTTCCTGGGTGGCAGTGAAGAGCAGAATTTCACTGATAAAAACCTGGAGCCCGACAGCAGGTAAACAAACTAAAAGAAAACTTTATCATATGGCAAGATTTTTAGATTTTCAGGATTGAAAAAGAATACATGTGTCATTCAATATTATTAAATTATTTAATTTCCTCATTTATTAACCATTCTGTTCCTGATTAAAGCTCCATAGCATTAAGTTAGTCATCAAATTATATGGAATTCCTGAGACCAGCAGATGGTGTAACGGTTATATCATTGGACTCCCACATGGCCAACTGTGGTTCAAGTCCCGGACCCAGAGGCTTGAATCTCTGGGTATGTGCATGCCCAAAATCCCAACAGGAGAATGGAGAGGGGGTTTCAGTTTGGCCATGCCCTCCAGTGGGGAGCTTTCTTGCTTTCTATCTTTCTGTCTCTCCAGGGAGTACACATGCCCTATTGCAAAAGAAAGATCTCTCTCAAAGTATATGGAATTCCTTAAAAATATAGTCTTTTTGACATAGAAATTTTTAAATATACAAATATGCAAAGTATAAAATTTTTAAAATTATCAAATCATCTTGAGAAATATGCATTACAAAGCTAGTAATAAAAAAGATTTAAACAGTTTTATTTTATAACAACTACCTTTTCTTCTCCTGTAATGTTTTCTCTACTTGCTACACTATTTATAGACACAAGTAGTTTTAGGGGGAAAAGTTCCACATATTTGCAATTCATTTCCATTCATTTCTCAGCAGAGGCAAAATATATCTTACATCAACAGATGTTTTATTGTAGAGCGTAAGAGATCAATTTAGTTTTATTGTAGAGAATAACAGATCAATTTGAGAACTTCTTCTCCTAAACATATTTTCCTGAACTCCAACCCATTTAAAACCGGGAGAGATTAATCTGAATGGTCCACAATCCATTTGCATACTCTGAGACTTTCTCAAAATTTTCAAGAAAATTTATAAATTACTAGATAAGACACACAGATATATGTACAAGAGGATTAAAATAAAGTTGAGCGCTAGCCCCATGGCCTAGTATGAAGGGAGCTAGATCCCACAAGACCAAATGCAATTCAAATCCCAGCCCTGGGTGCTTGAAAAACAGACTGGGCACATGTACATAGGTGACCCAAATCCCAAAAGGATGGAGAAATGGAAAAGAGATTGTGGCATGAGCACACCCCACTGGGGTACTTTCTTTCTCTCCCTCTCTTTCTGGCAATACACACACACACAAACACACACACACACATACTATGTACATATAATATATGTGTGTATGTGTGTTAAAAATAACAAAAGTGAAGTTGGAAGAAATAGAAATGGTGACAGTGTGGGGAGAATCCTGCCTATACTAGAAAAGCTACCAAGTCTATGGTAAAGTTTCTGGATCAAAAGAAAAAAATTGCAATTGGTTCATTTGGGACTAACCATGGATAGAAATGCCAGAGCCCATTGCTCCAGTCTCTTGTGTATTCCTTGTCATAATTCTTCTCTCATTTTAACCATAGATATATTTACAAGTTAGAAGCCAAAACTGGGGGTGGCAGCAGCAGTAGTGATGATTACATTGTCCAGACACCTGTATCAACACCAGAAGAAATCCATCCTCCATATAACATCACAGTAATTGGGCCTCGCACCGTATTTGTAGCTTGGGCATCACCAGGTAAAGAATAAAGCCTGTGTGTGTGTGTGTGTGTGTGTGTGTGTGTGTGTGTGTGTAAGACTTTTTAAAATAAAATACTTGATGATAAAAATGGAAATGTAGGGGCCAGCAGGTGGCATGGTGGTTGAGGTTCTGGACTCCCACATAGTCAACCACGGTTGGAGTCCTGCACCTGGCAGCTTGAAACTCATGCCAGGCATGTGTGCATGTGTGCCCAAAATCTCAGGAGAAGAATGGAGGAGAGAGAACTGTGGTGTTGCCACCCTCTGGGGATGACTTCTCTTCTTCCCTCTCATTGTCTCCCTCTGGCAAGTGCACACGCCCTATGGCAAAAACCTTAAACGAAAAAGGAATGAAAATATGAATTTAATAAGTCAAAAAGATATAGTCTGCCTAGATAAGTGTGAACAGAATACTCTGAACAATACTCCTGAGTGTATAAATGCATGACTATATTACATATATGTATGTGTGTGTGTATATATATATATACACATACACATACATACATATATATTGGGTCATCAGAAAAGTCATGATGCATTTTTCCATAGAAGAACATGCCATGACTTTTCTGATGACCCAATATATATGGTTTTATCAAAGCAATACTTTCTTTGGTGTACCAAAGCCTAAGCCTTTGTCTTCTTACATACATCCAGAAGTTAAATAGGTCAGTACTTTGAACAATCATTTCTGAGAGACTTAGATTTGAACATTGCATTATATTGTTCTCTCTATATCAGTGATTGAGGAATTTGGAAAGACAGGAATTTGGAATTTGGAAAGCCCATTCTGTCTGTACACCTGGGTTGTGACTGGTCCTGGTGGCTGAATTTTGCCTCTCTAAGCTGTGTAACCTCCAGTGAGCCATTTAGTCACTGTTGGGTTGCCTGTAACTTGCTGCATTCTATTTTGATGGAAGCATCATTCTCAAGTAAAATCCTGATTGCTGTAACTGTGGTTAGCAGAGTAAAATCTGCTTGCTCTATTTTTTAACGTAAAGGAAATATGGAGGGCTTTTATTGCAAGTGAAATTTAAAATTTATCAAAGTGTTACATGAACTTCAAAAATCCACGACTTCATTTTTAGTATCTAGTCTTAAGATGCAATTGAAACAAACCCCTGTTGTCCCTATCAGAGTATGTTTAGCCAAAGTTCGATGTGGTACTAAAAATAATTAGCTAACAGTCGTTTTACTCACCAGCAGCTACATTTCATAAAATAATTAGCAAAGACATATTTTTCATGGGAATGAAAGTTCTCTGAGTGAAAACAAGTAATATAGCTATAAAGATAAAAGCCTAACATATACAAGTTAAGTTCTCATAAACCATTATCTACGATCTTTGATCTTTGAAAAAGTATGTTTTTATTCAAATTCACAGGAGAAAATTTACCTAGAGCTTTATAAGCAAGGAGAATTGTAAGTTGATATTAAATATAAATGATTCCATTCACCTTTGTTTTATAATAAGTATACCACACATTCAATTAAACAAAACATAAAGGAATAATCAGTAGTGTTGCATGTATCATAAATTACAGCAATCTTTATCTAAGTTTTAGGAGTATAGATACTTTGGAACTCTGTTCTTAATGCCAGTAGAAGAAAATCTAGATCTTCTGCCATGAGAAATATACAAGGATAAAGCCCCCTTCACAGACTAGATTTCCACATTCATGAACTATCATTGCTGCTTTGTGACCTTTTAGCATATTTCTCCTTGGCATTTTCACAGTGCTTTGTGTTTTTGCACCATAAAGTAAAATGAGACTGTGTGGAGCCAATCTAAGACCACATTTTGGATATAGACCAGGGAACTCAGATTCAGACCAGGATCTTCTATGATCCAAATTCTCAAAGAATAAGGGAAAGTGCAGGATACTACATAAAGCTGGTGATTTTCTAGCCATGTGACTAGCAAGACCCCTGTTTTTCAAGTTACCTGTTATTTTAACATTATTGCACATATAAATGGCCTTTGCTACTCTGAAATCTTCATGGGGCATATTTTAAAATCTCTCTCCCTTGGGAACCAGCAGTTGGCGTAATGGCTATGTTGCTGGACTCCCACATAGTCGATTGCAGTTTGCGTCCCGGACCTGGTGGCTTAAAACTCACGCCAGGTGCATGTGCGTGCCTGCCCAAGATCCCGAGAGGAGAATGGAGGAGAAGGGATTGCGGCGTGACCATCCCCCCTGGGGGGTGATTTCTCGCTTTCTGTCTCTATGTCTCTCTCTGTCTGTCTGGTGAGCGCAAGCGCCCTATAGCAAAAACCTCTCCAAAAAACAAAAATTATATATATCTCTCCCTTAAGATAACCAAAGTAAAATAAATGAGAAAGCATGAATGGGAAAGCAAGGATTTATATCCCAGTTGTGCCACCAATACCTGACCTTTCTAGGCCTCAATTTTCTCCATCTGTAAAATGGGTGTCATGATTTTTCCTACATGTCCTACAATGTAGGTTTATTGTAAAGATTAAATAAAGAAATTTCTTTTCATGGTGTACACTATCTGGTTCTATATGCTATTCTACTGATAATGCTAATTATTTTTTGAAAAATTAATTTTGCCTTTCATTACTCATTTTTAAAATGTTATTACTCCAACAATTGCTGGGTCCCCAGGCCCCCCTTTTTTTTTTTTTTTTGGCCAAGAAAATTGCCTACTACAGGGTCAGGTTAGTACATTTCTAAGACTTCTTTCAGGTTTCCTAGCATTATGTCATTATTATCTTTGAACTCAGCAGCATAGTTTTATGTTTTATATAAAGTGCTTCCATTTAGAAAAGCATCACTGTGGAATAAAACACAACTTTTGCTTGTTTAATATAATCTTAACTCTTGCCTGCCTTAGTAGCTCTTCATTCTAATCCAGCCAAGCAGATAATGTAGGCATGCTTTACACCCTAACTCTGACCATTTAACCAATGGTTAATAAATCTATAATATCCAGACCTGTCAATCTTTTAGTTTCAGATACACAAAATCCATTTACAGAAACCCTGTAATATAGGGATTTTTTTTTAAAGATTAAAATCTTAAACTTTTTTTTCCCAGTGCCTAGGAGGATTTTGAACTCAGTAAGCAGGCAGATGATGTTGCCTTGTGTATAATCTACAGTTGATTTTATTGGAAAGTACCTCATGCTGTGTTTTGATTTGGATAATAAAAATATTTTTCTCTTCCCGAACAGCGACAAATATATATTTTAAACAGAAAGAAAACAAACTTGCTATGAGTAGAGGTTGTTCATTGGCTCACGATCAAAAGTTTTTGAAGTGCGCCTGCAATTACATCATAGGCAGAGTCGACTAAAAGGAAAAACCACCCGTACTTAAATACTTCTCTAGCCTGAATGAACACGAGAAGCACCTAGGAAGCTTGAACAAAAATAGATCCTGAATAAGTTGATTGAATACGAATCTCCTGGAATGGAGTCAAGAAAGTCAGACCTTTTCGAAAGCTCCCCATATGACGGTAATAAGCTCCCAAATTTAGTAACCACGGATCACAGAGAGCAAACCAAAGTGGCCAGTTACGATAACTCTCAGAAAGCATGAATAAACCAGTTTCTTTGGAATGCGTAAAGACAAAATAGTGTTAAAACTAATTGATTTTTTCCACATGCATTTTGTGTTGTGGTCAATATGAACAAAGTAACCTTAGACTAATAAGTTTATGGGAGGAAAAAGAAGGATGGTTGCTTGGCAACAGAAAAATAACCTGGGCAATTAACTGTGTTTTTAGTTTCCAAAATATTGTTCTAATGCTATCAATAAACTACATCTTAACACATGTTTATAAATCCAGCTACTAAAAGGAATGAAGTCTAGGAAATATGTGAAAATAACCAGGGAAAGTGTACCAGTGAGACGGATAGCAAATATCATTTTCATACGTTCATGTCATTTGTGATATGTAACATTTGTTAAATTCCTGTTATGTTCCAGCTACTCCCCAAAGCACTTTTCCTACCTTACCTCCATTAATTCTTAGGCAAACTCTATAAGGCAATAAGTATCAGTATCCCTATATTAAGATAAGAAGTTTAAATCTCAAAGAAGTAATATAATATGCTGAAGGTCACAGGGCAGACCCAAGATTCAAATCCCAGCATGCTCTACACTACTGTCTCTTAAGAGCAATTTCTTCCTGTCTTTGGCTAAACCCCTAAATCCAAATCAAACTTTTCATTTATTGCCCAAAGTCCCTCAGACTTAGGATGGATCAACTATGCTTTTCAAAATAGTAACCCAGAGAACCAAGAAACAGAAATAGGCGTGGGTGAAAACCAAATGATTTTGAGAGAGTAATGTTTTCCTCTATTTCTTAATTTTCTATACTTCAGATGATAAGTAATAGAAAATGGGACCAGCAAATGTTGTACTAGCTCTGTTGCTAGACTGTCATGTAGTTAACTGCAGTTCGAGTCCCAGACCCCATGGCTTAAACTCACTCCAGGCGTGTGTGCATGTGTGCCCAAGATCCCGAGAGGAGAATGGAGAAGAAGGGATTGCAGCGTGGCCATCCCCCTTGGAGGGGGCGGGGGAGGTGATTTCTTGCTTTCTGTCTCTCAGTCTTTATCTTTCTGGCAAGCACATGTGCCCTATAGCAAAAATCTCTACAAATAAATAAATAAATATTAAAAAAAAAAAGGAATAATAAATTATTGAAAATGGTGAGTCCTTGAAAGGGAAGATATCTACCAGGCCACAATTATCCCCTGCAACATGAAGAAACTAATAACCAGAAAGCTTTACTACCCCCTCCCCAAAGACCAGAAGGAGTGGACATGACTCAACAAAACCAGATTCCATATGCAGGGAGATTTTAATTAGGTCAGAGAGGGGGAAATATCATTTCTCAAATTTCTACAAAGAGCTCATTTAAAGACTATTTCAAAGCCTCAGTAAATATTCTCCCACTTCTCACGTAAATCCTGGCTCACTTTACCTCATTCATTATTGCTTCATAAATGTCAGTGGTACTA